TGGAAGAGAGAAGAAGTGATGAAGAATGGAACAAAAGGAAATATGGTTTATAGAACAATTAAAGAAAGACAGAGAAAATCTAGAGTAGGGAAGGAAAATTGAAAGTAAAGTAATTATAAATAAAGGTAAAGAGTTCAAAATGTTGATAATAAAAAAGGAGAAAATATAAACTATAATACAAGAAAATGGAAAAGATATGATAGATACAGTAACAAAACAAGATGGAGTCCTAGAGTTGCTGATATAGAAGATAAATGTGTTTGAAGTCAACAAAAAATACAAGGACAAAGAAATGAATGACTTACACAAAGAAATTTTGGTTTATTCCCATTTCGTCTACTCTAATGTAATCTTATACCAAAATAAATGTTTTATATTTTTTCTGTAAACTTGGTATGCCACTTTATTGTATATGAAAAACTTCAAAGCAGTATCATGATTTCTTGAGAACAAGCTAGGTTTTTATGTGATATATTTGTAGTATACATATGTGCATGTACATAAAAGAGTACTGATGTATGAATGTTTTAAAAGTCTATTGCATTGTATTGTAAACAGTATAAATACAAAAATGCTGTTCCTAAAACAACGTCAGGTAATTAAGAAATCAACTATTCTGACAAAATACAACAGGAAAAAGAGAGATTATATAAAAGACCCATGAATTTTAGGAAATATGACATAGTTCCCAAAAACTTTTAAATAAACAAGAACAAAATTTAACATAAACTAAATTGCAAAAATATGAAATATGATTATTAGCAAAAGGATTAACGTTTACTTCCACAAATAAACCTAATATAATACAACAGAAGATGTATATGAATTCAATAGGAAATTAAGACTTAAAGAATATTTTATGAAGTTTCAAATAAAGATAAATCCTTAGTAAAAGGTAAATCAGATTTTGATCCTGTTCAAGGAATAAACCTGGAATTACAGTTAATTTGTCAAAAAATGTAACTACATTTCTGAAAAACAAGGAAGGATAATTTAACATTAAAAGAGTGGAAGTTACTCAAGACACTTAAAAATTCTAGCTTGATATTTCGAAAAGCAGGTAAAGATAAAATATGGGTGACTCAAAAATCTTATAACCAAATGGCTTATGAACATTTAAACAATAAAAAGATTTATATAAAGTACTTTATATAAGTTTATATAAATTGGGGTGCATAACTTTCATGAAAGTAAAATTAAAGAATTTTTTTGATGAATTTAAGGTGATATTACAAAAAAAAAAGATTTTATTTTAAGTACAGTGTAGCACCATTATAACGTGATTGTTGGGGTTCATAAAATGTCATTGCGAAACAAGTGGGGTCGCACTAAATCAGGGTTCAATAAAATCACTGTTTAAACTGACCCAGTGTTGACCTAACATCCTAAAACACCTCCATTTTTGCCCTCTTTCACTAGTTTTTTACACATTCCCTTTCTGGCAAGTAAATTACCTCTGAATTAAAGAATTTTGCAAATGAATCATTGTTGTTACAGTAGAAATTAAAACACAAATTATTTTTTAGTAGGTGTTTTAATAAATAAAACAACAAATAAAAACATTCAAGAATATTAGTAATCATCATTTGCAGTTTATTTCTGCATAAAATCGAAATTTCACTGTAATTCAGAAATTGGGTATTTTATAAGTTCTTCCTAAAATCTATAAATCAAAAGATTAATGAATTATTATTGGAAACAAAAAGTGAATATATTCATTTTGGAAAACCTTCCAATATTCCAAGAAGACCAATTGTAGGAGGTAATCAAAAATCACTTAACATTTAAGTGACCTTTTAGACATATTGTTAAAACTTTTAATCTCATATTCATAGTCTTAGTTGAGATGATTTTGAATTTGCTGAAAATCTGTCAAGAAAAGTAGAAGTTTTGTTTATATAAACGTGGTAACTCTGTATCCAAGTGTTGAACATGACTATGGACTTAAAGCTGTGGAAAATCTTCTAGATTTAATTCATCCCAGGTTTAATAAAGGTTTTATCTTAAGATGCTTATATACAGTTTAAAAAAATTGTTTTTTTTACTTATGAGAAGCAAATCTTTCCTCAAATATTTGGTACAGCAATGGGCAAAAAAGTTGCTCCAACTTATGCTTATATCACTATAGGATTTTTCGGATTCCAATTATTTAATATACTATATACTATAATATATTTTGAAGATAATTTTGTAGCTCACATAAAAAGCTTTATGAAAAGATATTTCGACAATTGTTTCGTAATATGGAAAGTTACTCAAGATATCAACATGCCCCACCCCTATTCCTCAAAGTCTTCAACAAGGAAATCAGTAACACTAACTCCTAGAGCACCAACTGTTATTATTACTGATGTAAATTAATAATGGTTGATCTAGTTTGGTCAAATATAATGTCTACCTCCATGTTTTCAACAACCATGGTACCAACAACAATTCAATACTTGCATCAAGTCAGGAGATTTCTAGAAAATCCAAAATGGCACCTTAATATTTTTTAAGTTTTGAAAAAATTATTTAATGGTTAAATCAGTTATTCTTGGTCTCTACTTTTCAATATTCACAACATGTTATGGCTTAACAAAATTAAAAATGCCCCCCAAATCAGTTTAACATTACTTTTTGTTCAGATCAGTCACATATAGTATCTAAACAGTTATTTTGCCATCAATAAATTCATTAGTATCAATAGAAAATTCATATCTACTTAAAGTCACTGAAAATAGCTTAGTAATTAAGAAATATAGGAATAAAGTTTAAAAATAAATTACTCTTTTGAAACTTACTAAGTATGAAACCTTTATTAATATATCTATGTAAATAATCAAAGGGTTATTTTGATGGAGTTAAACAAGTATCACCAAGGGCATCACACATCATAAAAATTATTAAACTGAAATTATAGAGATACACGTTATAGAGATACAAATTAATGTTAAGCTGTTGTGCAAAATCACTTTATCCAATCAATCAAGCACAAATTGATATTTTTGTATTTTGTGTTAGTTCAAGGATGCAACAATGTCAATT